CCCCAAAACCCCAAAACCCCAAAACCCCAAAACCCCTAATCAGGTTTAGAAATTTGAAATTTCTTAGTTAAAGCTCATGGACGGCATTCTGTTTGTCAGTTTCTTGGTGATTCCTCTTCTCAGGCCCATTACTCCTGGCTGATGCTCGTCAATGTGCTTTCTCTTCTTGCCAAGTTCAGGGCAGATAGTGTCTGGAATGTACTTGGCAATGAATGAGACTATCCAGCAGGAGAATCCGAGGCCGATACAGATGGCCCATTGTGTGAGGGTAAGGCCTTGTCTATTCACTTGGAATACATCTGCTGAGAATTGGGTTATGACTACCTGAACAATGAAGATTCCTACCCAGATTGTCAAGAACATTGGGTTGTCAGTCATTCCAGCGAAAATGTTCTTCTCATCATTGATCTTTCTAGCATTGAGCATGTTGAACACTTGAAGCATGACAAAAGTAGTGAACACCATTGTATAATGTCTACTTGGCCCGTATGCCTTCAAATATGTTGAATAGAGTGGCTCTCCGTTGAAAGTGTAGCTTCTTCCAGGCACGATGTTTCCATTTTCCTGCTTCAGTTCATAGTGTGGGTCTTCAGGAATGAAATGCTCTCCAGCAAAAACCATTGTGAATATTACAATTGACTGCCAGATGGCGATGGTGAGGATGTGTTTGACCATCTTTCTGGAAATTATGTACTCATCTCTTCTGTAGGGTGGTCCATCAAGAAGTTCCTTCTTTGGTGGCTCAGTAGCCAAAGCAAGGGAAGCCAGAGAATCCATAATCATGTTCACCCATAAAAGCTGAATTGACTTTAATGGTGATTCTCTGAGAATACATGAACCAATGAAAGCAGAAATAAGAGCAACGATGTTTACAGTAAGTTGGAACTGGAGGAATCTTCTAATATTTGCGTAGATGTTTCTTCCCCACATACAAGCCTTTACAATAGATGAGAAGTTATCATCAAGCAAGATAATATCAGCAGCATGCTTCGCAACATCGGTTCCGGTAATACCCATAGCAAATCCAACATCAGCTTTCTTCAGAGCTGGGGCATCATTGGTACCATCTCCAGTGACTGCGACAGTGTCTCCCATCTGTTTGATACCGGTGACAAGGAGATATTTGTCTTCAGGTCTTGATCTAGCAAGGACATCAAGGTTTTTCCAAATTTTGACAAACTCCTCCATATTCTTAACGACTTCTTTAGACTCTCTGCCGTTGCTGTCATTAGAGTCTAGTTCAGGATCTTCTTTGACGAGGCCTCCAACTCTTTCGTAGAATTCAGGGCCTTCGAGAACTGAATCTTCATTTTCGCCTGAGATAATGTTGCATTCCTTGGCAATAGCAAGTGCAGTGACTTTGTTATCTCCAGTGACCATTCTGACCTTAATGCCTGCTTTTTGACAGATATTTACGGCATCTGGGACTTCTGGTCTGATGACATCTCTGATACCAAGGATTCCAAGACAAATGAGTCCGTTCATCTCAATTTGTTTGTTTACACCATCTTCAGCATCGTCTTCATGAGTGGCGCCTCCTTCTTCCTCTTCGATGTCTCTGTAGGCAACACAGATAGTTCTGAGAGCTTGTTTGGCATAATCTGTAATAGTGTTGTTAATGATATCTTCTTTGAGTTCATCAGTGAGTTCTACTTGCTCTCCATTCTCGTCAATATAGTGTGTGCAGAGCTTCAAGACTATTTCAGAGGCACCCTTGACATGGAGTCTCTTGTCATAATCAGACTCATTATCCTCGATGTTTTGGAGAATCGTTGACATCTTCTTTCTCTTAGAAGTGAATTGGAACCTAACGAATGGATCTGGCAGGAAAGTCTCTCTCAAATTATTGTAATCAATATCAAATTGCTTAAGCATTTTCAAGATGGCTTCTCCAGTGGCATTGGTGTTACCAATCTCTCCAACTGTGTTACAGGCACATGATTGAATAAAGAGATCACGAGTCTTCTCATCTGGAAAAACAGTGCTAGGGTCGATAGACTGGAACTCAACGTTGAGCTTGTTGTCTCTTCCATTCCAGATATTGGTCACATTCATCTCATTCTTAGTAAGAGTACCAGTTTTGTCAGAACAGATATTGTTAGCTCCTCCCATGATTTCACAAGCAGCTAGTCTCTTTACAAAGTTATTATCAGCGAGCATTTTCCTGACAGAGTAGGCAAGGGAGATGATAACTGCAAGAGGGAGTCCTTCTGGAACAGCAACGACAATGATAGTGACTCCTACTATTAGATATCTAAACCAAATTTCTAAGTATTCTCCAATATTATTTCCCCAGTCGTATCCCTCCATTCCTTGTTCGATGAAGAATCTAATAAAGAGAACGATAACAGTAATTGCAGCAGCGTAAGTTCCGAGAAGACCAATATCATTAGCGATTTGTTCAAGTTTCTCTTGGAGTGGAGTCATCTCAACATCTTGGTTGAGCTTGGACATGATTTTTCCAACACAAGAGTTCTTTCCAACCATGATTACTAAGAACCATCCTTCTCCAGTCTGGATCTGAGTTCCAGAGAGAAGGACTGGGGATGGAATTTCATGGGGTCCTTCTTTAGCATCTTCTGTTTCGTTAAACTCTTCAAGCTTTTGGAGGCAGTTTTCAAGATTTCCTTTCTTGAGCTCGATACTTTCACCAGTCATGGCAGATTCATCAGTACTCACACCACTTCCTTTGAGGAGGATGGCATCTCAAGGGATACTCATTCCTGGTTGAACCTGGATGATGTCTCCTACCTTGATGTCGTTGATATTGATGATGGTTTCGACTCCCTTTCTAATAGCTCCAACATTCTTCTTTGAGTCGCTGTACTCATTCAATTTGATGAACTGCTCTTCCTTCTTATAATCGTTCCAAGCAGTGACTCCAGATACGATAAAAACCGCGAGGAGGATGGCACCTCCTTCAATCCAAGCGATGGATCTGTGCTCCTCTTCGAAAATCATATTTATGATGATGGATACGATAGCACAGACTATCAGGATCTTGAGCATGAGGTCGTCCATTGCTTCCATGAACAACTTCCAAAACCCGTTTCTTACAGGAGGATCTTTTTGATTGCTTCCAAACACCTTGTCTCTGATGAAGAGGTCATCACACTTGAGACCTTCCTCAAGGTTGGTCTTGAGTTTTTCGGCTAGGCCCTCAGGGCCTTCAAATTTCTCTTGGAGCATTTCTATTTCTTCTTTGAAGTTTCTGTTCCTGTAAGCTTCGACCAGTTCAACCAATTCATCTATGGAGGAGGATAAGTTTTGTTCATGAACAAAATATCTTAAAAGATTCTTTCTACCCCTGCTTCACTCAGAGGTGGCCAAGGCTAGGAGGCTCACCTTGATTGATGAGGCAGCCCTCAGCTAAGCTAGTTAGACTAGTGTACACCTATTCAAGAAGTAATAGTAATGAAGAGGTCCATCGATAACCAAGAATTTTCTTCCATTTAAAAAGCAACATCGCTATCGATTTGGTATCCTGAGACAAATTTTGGCAAGAAACCTTCTAAAAATCCTTAATGAGAGGTGTTTTAGTATTAATAATCAACAGTTGAGGTTTTTGCCTTGATAGTGATCTAATCTACCCCGAATTTGAGGATTTGTTGGCCCAAAAGATTCAGGCTTCTCATAGCTAGGTTTAATACACTTCTTTTATGCCTCATTAGTAGTGCTTGTAATAAAAGAGCCCATATTGAGCCTAGAGAGAGAATCCAGGGTTTTTAGATTGGCTAAAGTACTTACCAACATTGGTATCGAAAGCCCCAGGAGCAAGCTTTTGTTCTTCCTCTGACATATCTAAATAAACTTTAATAAAAATACTTTAATCAGGTTGGTTATCACCTTTCGGGGTTTTGGGGTTTTGGGGTTTTGGGGTTTTGGGG